ACTTTTGGATAGAGGTAAGTTGGGTTAAATCGTCCTATTTTGATACCAAGAACCCATGGTAGCGCGTTGTACAGACCTTTTAGGGACACCCTGTATAAAATTCTTCTGTGTCTTTGTGACTGAACCTCTCCTAAGCGATTGGACGGATTTTGATGAAAATTGTTGTGTCCCCAAATGGTTTAGATTCACATGTTGGAACCGATAATTGTTATTGAACTTATGCGGTGTGTAAAACGTACGTTGTTACAGACCACTTTGCTAAAATTTTGTGATTAATTTGATTTGCGTGTTATAAAATAAAGTTTGTTTGTGTTAATTTCCGTAACTCGTGTGTTTATTCGAACCTTTTAACGATCCAGATAAAAGTATCACGCTTGTGATTTGATTGATTTTGTTGTTCCGTACCCACAGTTTATTTCAGGTGTCTTCAAAATTTGTTTAAATAATTCTTGTGGAATTTAAGGAATTTGTTCGTGGCCATTACTTACTATAGAATTTGGAATTAGAAACCGAGATTAAAATTTGTTGGAAAGAAGACACCAGACTGATTAGACGATATGCCTTAGGTGTGGAGTAATCACCCTTGCCATGTTTGGAGAGGAAAACAATTTTTATCTCCCTCAATTGTTTAGGTATGTATCTGAAAGACATACAGCCCGTATATATTCTCACTAGGTAGATAACAATTACGTCCAGTCCCCTATGCAGGAGAGCTCGTATTATGCCGTCCTATCCTGATGATTTGTATGCTGAGAACGATTTCACCGCCCAGGTTACCCTCGTGTATCCACCATCTGACTTGCAACCGCCCAGTCATTCTCCGTGGGAGTCAAGGAGGTTGCCTCTGGCCGTAGTATTGGCTCCGACAAAGTGAGCGTCTCTCAGTACCTCGGCAGTCTTCGGAGGGTGTCCGTATAGGAACCATCCTTTCTTCTGAAGCTAGCTGGGTTGCAATATATGAATCCTTAGTTAGGATTTTATCTAAGTAGGATGCAGAGGACGCCTCCTTATTTCCCTTATAAGCTTCCTAGTCGACTTCAGCTTTGCTCTTCCGTGACTTATTGAATTGTTTGCCCAACAGTGCTTTTCGAGCACCCGGCACCACCAGGGATGGTTATAGGGTCTCAGAGGACATGCCTGTTCAAATGACTCTACAATGGAGTTGGAGAGATTTGTTTCACCCTGTCTCATTACAGGGAGGTAGGGTGACAGAATCTCCTGGAAGTTTTACCATGTATATCACAACATACCTAGCTGTGATATAACGGTCATGCAGGTATAGCAGCAGGAGAGCTTTAAAGTGGAACATAAATACAGGTCCTAGGTTTTTCTTATCGTGTGTCAAAGAGAACGGTTCCTTTCAGGCTTTTGATTGAGAAGTCTGATCGAAAAAGTACAAATTGATTTGGATT